AGTGCTATTCAGATTCGTGAAACAAGAAAATAAAAAAAAGCTGCGAACTTCAAAGGACTTGTTCGTCAAAAACCAACAAGTCCTTATGAAATTGCTGCAACGCCGACTTACAATTTTCATTGACTTGTTCTGCAAGATGTCGTACAGCGCTAATCAGGTTTAGGTCTTTCGAGAAGTATTCTCGGAATGTTTCATCTGCTGCAACAAAAGTGAGGAACTCGAGAGCGTATCTCACAAGATCTCCGTCGTCGACCACAGACCACAGGAAATCGGCTACCTGGTAGTTTCCACTAAAAAGTCCACTGAATATTGCATTATCGTGCGGTTGTATTGCCCCGAAGGGTATGCAGTTGATACCACTGCCAATTATGGAGGCTGTATCGAAAATAAAACGAACCAGACGCATCTTATTTCGTTCCCAATGTTCAGGTTTGAATTTGCTAGCAGTAACAGAAGAACATAGGCTTTCAGAATGATTTGCTTCGCCAAGGACTTCAGATTGGGCTAAATTAATACCTTGTTTGCCTTAGCAAGCACTTTTCGCATATACAGAAAACACCACAACCATTAAAATACGAAGAAAAACATTAAGTGGAGAGAAACGTTATTGGACCAAAAAAGTTGTGAAAAGATTTTGTGAAGAATTAAGGCTCTATGACCAACATAATCGCAAAAATAAACAAAGTTTTTCACCTCTTTGAGATTGATCGTTGTGGCTATTATATCCAGTAAAACACTGGAAAATGAAACTGCAGTGTTACTTCCACGTAAGGTAACACTTCTTAGCCGCTGAGGGTGATTCAAAGGATCCATCTCTGCCACACGTATCAAGATCTAACAACCACTGCCATTATGCTCCAGAAAAATTTTACTGTCTTGAAAAAATTTGAACAAAACTATGCTTAATGGCAACTCACATTCAAGATGTCAAAGCGACAATTCAAATTTGTTGTTTCAGCCAGTTCTTGAAGTAACAAATCAGGAGAACCTGGGGCTCGCAGCAGCTATAAAATTAGAAGTATTCACAATGAAGCAGAAAAAAGCGAAATCAATTTCACTGACTAAAAACCAAGGTCGTGTAAAAAGCATTAGAACTAAGCTACAACACACTATGGTAGTGACTTACATTGAGCTTCAGGCAACAAAATAAAGAAGGCGCAGTAAAAAAGAAAAACAAACTTACATCTACGCTCGCCCTAACGGTATGCTCTTTAGATAAACAGGTACCAGTAAAAATCTTCAAAGCCCAAATTATTTCACTAATTAGGGTTTCCACTTCGCTAACATCGGACCATTTCAAACGAGCCCTTTTATAGAAACCGAGTAGGGAGATCATATGCGGTATAACAACACCACTTTCAATGATGAAATCCTGTGAAATTATGGGTAAATACTATTTAGCTTACATCTTTGAGCATCCAGAAATAATGAAACGAAGAATATAGGACTTGCTAGGCATTAGAATAAAAGGAATATAAAAAATATTAAAAAACTACTTAGAAAGTGACAAAAAACGTCAAAACTTTAATACTCTTTGACGAAATTAAATAACGAACTTTATTTTGATTTTTAACGCCACGGCCGCTAGCTGCTATATTGCCCAAGAACTCAACTCCAATACTTAAAATATACGAAAAACTTTTGAATCTCTCAATATCGCAACCACCAGCTGCATTCCTATCAAACTCAAAAACTCCACAACGATACCGCTCCATAACAACCATAACATGGTTTATGGTAACACCGTTATCATTACACCGAATCTCTTCAATATCGCTTACTGCCCTAAGAGCAAGTAAAGCATATTCCACCACGCGATAACTCTGGTAAAGCTTTTCAGCGACACGTGCGAGCAACTGAAAAATGGGAATTTTTACGTACCCCTACGAATATCCAATTCTCGTTCCCAGCAAAAAACGAAACTTGTAACCGGAGTAGTGTTCAAAACTTATCGAGAATGCCCATTTTCGGGAAACACTCAACTGGTATTTTTGCCAGAAGAAGTTATATATACTACAAACATTTATTAAACGTATTTTAAAAATTCCTTCAAATAATAAAGTTTACGCATTAAAAAAACTGTGCCCCAAGCAGCCTTCTTATAGAGATATTTCCTTACCCAAAACTTAAAGAAAATATGCAAATTGCAAAGGTGAAGCATATTCTAAATAAGCAAAAGAATTACTTCAATTCCTTTCAAGTTACTAAACTGTAGCCCGAATGTTTTGTTCGGCGTACTAACGAGCGCATATAATACATGAATAATTCTGTAAATCGTTGACTCGTCTCGCTCCCTAACAAGAAGATGCAGTAACAGCTCCATCCCATTCTTGGATGTAAAAAGTAACTAAAAAACTTCGATAAATCCGGAATTTTCCAATAATCACAAATAGCCAAATCACTTCAAACCTTCAGAGCTTCATCGTTATAGAAAACGTGACGAACAAGGACAAATACATATTGTTTTCTCTTAGGAGTATTGATAAAATAGGAGCTACCCCTTTGCTGCATGAGAGACATCACTTCTATTAATTTAACAAGTATCTGGAAAGAGAGAAGTGAAAGTAAACGCTCGTATGTGGAAGCAGTAAAAATTCAGAACGGGAAACTTTATTGGAAATTAAGCACCACAGCTGACGTCATTTCCCCTGTTACTGATAACGGCATAAACTCAAAAAAGAACTTTATAATAATAATAATAACAACTTACTGTCTCTTTAACTTCCTTGCCAAATTTTCTTGGGTCGGCCATCTCCATTAAAGAATGTACAGTAGTGAGCGAAAATAAACAGTATTTTTCCGTCGGTCTTAAAGAAATTCGT